GTCTGACAACGTTCTTGCTGCTTGCGTGGGCGCTCACTACTTGGCTAACTGCACTCCACTAAATAGTAACGGTCGTCAGCAGAATGCTCGTCTCTACTGAGGTGGTTGGTCCATGTTGGTCCTACTTTTGTGGAAGTCCGGGGGGGTATATTATACTGGACCAGAATATGTATATGTAGGTTTTGTTGGGCCTAGGCACTGGGTGCCTTTGACCAGTATATAGGTATACATATTCTAGTGCCTAGTGGCCCTCAAAAGTCGCAATGCCAGGCTGTCAAACGGTCTGCCTTTGATGCTGCTCGTGCGCATACTTGGACCGCATTGCGGCCCCACATCGGGGGCAGCCTTCCTGCTTACAAGCAGCAAGCACGGATTGACACCACTCAATGCCCAAATTCAGGATTCGAAAACCCAGGTTTCAGCTCATGTGCCGGAGCCTGGGCCCATTTCCTCAATGATGCAAATTCCCTTGTATATTTTGTCTACTCCGGGAAAAGCAACATAGACCAGAACTCAATTTCAAGTGCACTTTAACATGGACCACTGGAAACGGTGACTTACTGGGGAAACGGTATTAGCGCCTTTTTTGGCAATTTCTGGACACTCACTAACATGGACCGTTCCCACTCTCAGTCTATGATCGATTCTGACACTAACATGGACCAACTGCAATCTTACTATAAACTGAACGCAGGCTAACATAGGCCGGGCCGGTAGAGGTCAACATAGCCCGGTGGAGGCTAACATGGACCATGCCACACACCTCTAGGGCCTACCTGGTGCATCATTGGTTTTTCAACGTGTTCTTTTTTTTGATTGTTTTTGATTTTTTTTTTCACAGATTGCTTGAAACAGACTCCAAACATCAATGGAAGAAAGGAACTGAAGGAATATGACCAGCCAAGTAACTAAGAATACTCGTACGGCCCACCATGGCACATCGGAATTTGGTCTATATAGGTTAGTCTCAACGGTGTCCGCTCCGAAACTAGACTAACATATGCCCAAAAAGAAAGATGCGAAAATGTTAGTTTTCATTTCACCTGTGTATCTCTTCTTTTTTATGGGCCCATGAGTTCTGACAATTTGGCTTCCTGGGACCTTCGGTAGTGGCGCTGGTGCTTCTTTGGAACGCACACCCGCCCTGGTGCAAGAGCGACATCACCTCCTTGAGAGGCAGCCGCAGAATCAAAACGACGGGCTTAGGTTACCTCCGGAGCAACATGGCCATGCTGGGGCCGATTTCGGCCTCGGAGGAGTGGTCAGCAAACGAGTACGTCAAGTCAGACTGGCTCAACGGGGTTGAGTGGTCACTGAATCCTTCCCCAGACCTGAAGGCAAAGGAATTACCACCTCTGCCGGCCTAAGATTGCTCGCCTAAGCCGCTGGTCAGATCGTCAAGAAGTGTGGGCTGCCACTGGAGCATGCTTTCTGCGCATGTCACTGAACCCTGCGCCACCGAACCCACACTCCCAAAGCAAAGCCAGATTGCCTTGATCGATCCCAAAGATTCCAAATCCGAATTGTGGAATCCACCGGAGCAAACTGAGTCACAAAGCCGCTGATCTGCCGGGCCCAGAATTCCAGGTTCCTCTATGGTCCCGTAACCATTCTGAAGGTCTTGTTGGATACTTGGATAGGAAGATCAGCATTCTTGTTCTTGTGAACATGTTGCCAAGGAATGAATGCAGTATTTCAAGGGGGAATGGCAAGCGCATCCTCCGACATCTGTTCAAGCCCGCAACCCAAAAGACCAGCCCCAGCAACCTGCTCCCTGTATGGCGACCACTTGCCCCAACCAGCTTTTAGAGGTGGAAAACAACAAGAAGTCTGTGCAAGCAGGGCACCCACACCACACACCGCCAGTTGTCTTCAACCATGCACCATTTAAGTGATGCGCCACTTCAGCGGGGCCAGGAGGCGACTTCCAAGATCTTTAGGGGTTCAGTGCCCAGGTGGCCACTCCCTCAAGGGATTTCTCAGGCTGTTGCCCATGTACTGCGATCTAGGTCCATCTTCAGAGCCAGACATGTCGAGGGGGAAACATGAGCGGACACACCTTCTTCAAATTCTCGGTTCAAACCGCTCTTCTTGAAACTCTTCGGCCAATCTCCTGGGTCTGACTCTCAGTGAGGTCAAACAAATCTACCCCCCTGTGCCCCCCCAGTGGATGAGAAAAGCCTGCTCAGTAAATGCAGCTGGCTGTAACTCGGGAACTGTAACAACCAGGGCCATTTTTACGACTTCGTGATGCTCTTTTTACGACTCGTGGCCTCTGTCTTTACTTCGCCCCGCACTCTGGCGCCGCTCAAGTGTCCGGAGAACTACTGGGCTCAGGTTGCACACGGTCGGGCCTCTCCAGAAACTTCTTCTTCAAGTTGGCTGATTTCCTTGAAGAAACGCAGGTGCATGAAGGCAAGGAAGGCAAGGAAAAGAAAAAGGAAAAAAGAAAGGAAGGAAGGAAGGAAGGAGGGGAGGGACGGAGGAACGGAGGGACGGAGGAACGGAGGGACGGAGGAA